CCGCAGTGTGGATGAACCTTACAAACGTGAGGCCGAGCGAAAGAAGCCACACGCGAAAGGTCACGTGTTGCAGGATTCCATGTACATGAAAGGTCCAGAATCATAAATCCATAGGGAGAGAGGGCAGGTTAGTGGCTGGCAGGGACCAGCGAGGACGGGAGTGGCGGCTTAATGGCTATGGGGCCGGTTGGTTTGGGGGGTAAGGAAAGTGTTCTAGAATCGACGGTGGCACACTGTCGTGAATGCGCTAGAAGCCACTGGACTGTATACTTTTAGTGGTGAATTTGATGGTACATTTTACCTCAATTACAAGAAATCAGGAGAGCTCATTTTAATAAGCTGGGCCCCACCCCTGAGTTTTTCTGGCTCAGTAGGTCTGGGTGGGGCCTGAGCATCTGCACGGCTGGTGAGGTGCCGGGCGACGCTGAATCTGGGACCACACAGATCCAGCAGTGCTGGCTCACGGAAAGGTTCGCCCTTTGAATTTAAATGAGTCCCCCAGCATTATCAGTCACCGTGCACGTTTCGGAGGTTTGCTACAGGTGACCCAGCGCTGGCCTGACGTCCGCAGTAAAGAAAATGCAGTTCTCCAATAACTGAATCGGAATCCAATCAAGTCTCTGCCAGCTCCTAACTGTGAACTCAATCAAGTCCCTTCACCTCGTTTGCAAAAAGGGCATTATAATTCCTGTCTCACTGGATTGTTTTGAAGTAAGTGGAAAAAAAGAAAAGCTATATATTACTAGGAGAAAGTTTGCCTACCATATCACCTAGCTTAAAGCAGATCCCCAATAGTTATTAAAATACATATAATATATGTAAGTATATGTCGATTATATGTAATTGTAATTCTATATTTTAATATAATTTCTATGTCGATATCCAATGAAATTATATGTAATTCTATATACTTTACGTGGATAAGCACACATGCTGTCTTTGCTTTTATGTACGTAGACATAGTTCTACATTTCACTCGTGTGGCTGGAGAGGCAGTATACAAGGTGTGCATGTCCAGTAGTTCCCTTGGCACCAGGCCAGCAAGGGGACAGCGAAAAGGGTTCAGGCCATGTCAGAATCATCTTGGGATGCTCCTCAGAGCTCTGAATATTATAGACCCTTCGAAACTAGTTCTCGAGTGAACGAGCGGATGAATGACTAAATGAAGGAATAGTGAACTCAGCTACCCAACAGGCTTAATTTTGCCATCGCCAAATTCAGAGGCAGAGCGGGTACTGAGGGAGCAGGGTGACGAGCTGGGCATGCCACGCGTCCTCATGTCATTCCTCTGCATGCAGCTGAGTGAGAGCCATGGTGATCTTAGCAATCATTGTGCCGACGGGTCCTGCCCGTGGATTCCAGACATCGTGCTGGGGAAGGGATTCCGTGCATTGCTCATGGAATGCAGGCACGTTTCTCGTGCAGACCCGTGAGCTGAGTTTCGACCCCTTAGGCCAACAGTCAGGGACATCTACTGGGCGCTGGGCACTGTGCCACCGGTGGCTATTTGGATGTAAAAGGTATTCAGATACGTGTGGATCGGGACTGTATTATAATCAGAGGAATCTAATGTCTGGTGCCCTCAAATTCCCTCTCCCTTGAGATGTGACATTATTTTAAATCACTCAATTCTGTCTATTGAGGCAGGGCCGTTGCGTTAGACATAATTTGAGATGCTCTCTTATCCCTCTGTGCCCATCACCTAGGGGAACATCAGCAGGATAAGGGAGACGATGAGCGGACCCTTATGCGTCAGTCAACATTAGTTTGGTTTAAAAGGGGGAGGAAATGATAAGAATTGGCCGTTCTTATGAAAAGTTCTTCAGCCGTTACTCAGCGCCTGGTCCATGCGGGGCAAGCCGCCCTCCCCCGTTTAATGATACCCCATGGTCGTCTTCCCACCCCTGGCCTGACCTCAAGTGGCTTAGGGGCCTCCTCTGCAGAAGGGGTCTCCTCTCGGGATACGTGCCATTGAAAGAAGAGGCTGCTTTGTTTTGTCGAATAAATTTCCCTGAGCCAGTCGCGCCCATCGACGCACCCCGGCCCCGCTCCCCGCTCCCCGCTCTGCCTCCAGATGTGTCCGTGGCTCGTTCCCTCACGTCCTTGCAGCGAGATCTTCCCTGAGCACCCTCCCACACACATCCTCCCGCCGGGCTGTCGTCTCTCCTCAGTACTCACCTCTCTCTAACACACTTAGTGTCCTCCCTTGTCTGGTGATTGTCTGCCCCGCTGGAAGGCAAGCGCCATGACAACCAGGATTTCTGTGTGTTTTGTTCTTTCCCATGTCCCCAAAGCCTACAACAATACCTAGCACACAGCAGATACTGGATAAATGTTTGCAGAATAATAGAACAGTGAGCGACACTTCGCTCTGCTTTTCTTCATCTAAAGCCTGACTTCCTCTAAATGCCCAAATAGAATGTTCTATTGCAAAGTGAAAGAGTCACGTGTCTTTCATGTGAGAAAGTGTGAATGGATGGAACCAGCAAAGATACACCCCAGGTACAAAAAGCGCCTCGTCTCACCAGCATTTGTCATCAAATGAGAGTTCTTGGGTGATGGCAGAGGCGTTTTTTTTTTTCGTCCTTACACAGAAGAAACAGTAGAAACGCAGAGCAGCCCAGTCCACGGGGAGGGTGGGGGAGTTTGGGGACGGGTCGCCAGCCGTTCCGAGGGGCGTCACTGCAGTCGCTGAGCAAGTGAGCAAGTCCCCAGGGTGCGGGAAAGGGGACCCGCTCCCACGTGCTTGTGGCAGGGGCCGTGAGCCAAGCCAGCAGTCGCTGAGGTTTCCATTGGGCCGACTTTGAAGGCAGACGGGTGAGCTCAGGCCCTGCTCCACACTGTCCTTGGATGACCCCGAGGGAGGACCTGGTCTCGTGTCGGCGAGTTCACCGGTGGCAGCTGAGGGGGAGATTCCCCTGTGGTCATTGAAACAGAGGCCGCCCTGAGGAGCTGACGCGTACGCTGTTCCTTCAGAGCACGGTTGGAACCTCACGCATCGGGCGTAGCCATGATTCTCCACGGGGGAGAATTTTTAAAGCACGTGGGGTTTGTCCTTCAACAGAATGGGAAAGCGCTAAAGAAACAAACGCATTATTACGCAGATGACCGTACGTCCATCTGAACACACACGTAGCCATGCCAGCGCCGATCGGTTCACTCTCCTCTCCCAGACGCTCTGAAGTCTCAGCCCTGGGCTTCCACCGACCTCACGCATCTTGTTTCTGTCCCTTCTCTTTAATGTCAACCCCCCAAAACCCGACGCATACTTGTTATTTCAAAAGACGGTGATTTGGGGGGACTCGTCTGAGCTGGGCCTAGAGCCAGTCTCCGGCCTCTAATCTGTGGACGCTGGTGACGTCGATCCCCCGCTCGCTCGTGAAGCAGGGTGATTCATACTGCTTTTTCACTGGCCGCCTCTCAGCTACTGTTATCCTTGCCGTAAACCCATCCCGAGACTTATAACTTATCCTGGTGTCTTTCCTGATGAACTGTCAACATATTCTGGACATCAGTTCCTTTCCAGAATGAACTGATAAGAGTTTATCACAATGCCCGGTTGCATATCGTTGAGTGGGAGTGATGTCTGGTGTCCTAGGTCAGCCCCTGAGATAAACACGTACCCTGGGAAAACCCCCACGTGGGGAAGAAGGTCCCGTCTCCGCCTTGATGAGCCTTATTTCTTTACAAAGAGAGGAATTCTCAGTCCCCTGTATAATGTACCATTGTCTTTTTGATACAAAGCCCTTCTGAATTGGTAAAATTACAGGTTTTCTTGCGGATCATCACTTGAAGTTGTTCAGCATCATTTTGATACCAGGAATAATCAATCTGTCTGCCAAGGAAAGTCATAGAGATTTCAGAAGGAGCTTTGCTGCAGCAGGACGAATAAGCCACGGTTTCGTGCCTTCGCATCCAAAGGCAGGGCTTGCGTTTATGAACGTATTTGTAGATTAGGATTATACTCCAGAGGCAATAACCTGAGATTGGCGGGATCGACTCGGGGCGGGGTGTGGAGATGGTGCAGAGTTGCCAGTCTGGCCGCGGAAATCATCCTGGTCTTGAAACGAAATAGTGGCTGCTCTGCCGTCTTCAGGGCAACGTAGCGGCATGCGTTGGTTCAGCCAGTTGATCAGAGTCCAATCGCTATGTCATCCTGTAAGCGTCTGCACGGAGAGAGGGTGCCGAGGTGGCTGGTCAGCAGGCCCTGCCTTCTCGCTAAATAATAAAACCTTCTGGGTTTCTGGCATGCTCGTCTTTTATAATCCTGCTGCCTCAAGACGCAGGGAAATGCATTTGTGAAAAAGAGAGACACTCTGTATGCGTCGGGTAACGCTAGCTGCTGTAGCAAACACACTCCCGACTTTCGGTGGCTTAGCGTACCAGAGGTGTGCCATCCCTCCACGTGACACTCCAAGGCTCTACATTCCCTCTCTACAGTGAGTCAGGACCACGGGGCAGGCCTCTCTGCACACTGAAAGGGGGGATGCGGACTTTGCTGGGAGGCTGGCCGGCTCTGCCACACGCCTCATAGCCCTGACATTTCTGGGCCAGAGCAGGACCTGCATTTTGGGTCATCCCCATCCTCCTATAGCTGTGCTTGGGGGAGACTGTGGTGTGACCGTCACAGACCCAAATGCCAGCTTCGGCTGGCCCTGGTCTCCCCGGGGGCTGTGTCCACGGAGCCCGGGACCTGCTGGGCACACCCACTTGTACTTTCTTTCCACTTTCCAATGAGGACATGAGCACGTGTTCTGTTTGTATTACAAGCTGCAGATCCTAAGAATTCGCGTTCCATAGTATCATTTCACATAGAACGATTACTGTCCAGACTTGTCGATTCGAAAACCACCGAAAGATCATTTCTTTTCTGACAGAGCATGTCCTCGTCCGTGGCGTCGGCGCCGTGCAGGGTGGGCCCTGGGGCAGCCATCGCTGGCAGGGACCACGCGAGGCCATGTCATGCCCCGGTGACTGACTGTCGGGGGTCTTCTCCGCAGGTACCCCTTCCCCATGCTGTTCAGCAGCTGCAGCAGGAAGGACCTGGAGGCCAGCCTGGAGAAGGGCGTGGGCGTGTGCCTCTTCAACCTGCCGGAAGTCAGGCAGTCTTCCGGGGGCCGGAAGTGTGGGAACGGGTACGTCGAGGAAGGAGAGCAGTGTGACTGTGGGGAGCCGGAGGTAAGGACGTCTGCTTCGCATCCTGTCCGGGCAAAGAAGCGAGAACTGGGGCTCGCAGGACGAACGTGCTAGAAATTCAGGCTGCAAAAGTCCCGTGTGGCCGCCTCGAGCGAGCCTCACAAGCCAGGGTGGCCTCCTTGAATTTTAATGATCCCACAGAATAAGTTACATTGCTGGTTTAAGAAGAAAAAGAACCTTCTTTATTGAAGGATGTGGTGTCCTCACAAGGTGGGGGCAAGAACGATGAGAAGGCGTTGAGCCTTCGACCTGACGGAGACGAAGCCTTGGCGCTGGCTTCCGACGGCGGGCGCGCACCGTTCCTTTCTCTTTGCGAGGCGTGTGAACGGGGGAGGATTTGAAGAAGCGGCGTTCATTTCTCCCCAAGAGTTTCCTCCCAAGTTGAAATCCTGCCGCAGCCTCTTCTGTATGCAGGACCCGAGGCGCCGGCTCCCGCCTCTCTGCTTGTCAGCTTTCAGGAGCAATAAGCGAGAGCAGGAAACATTTTTATCCAGCAAAGGGCTTATTCAGCCCTGTTTTCCAGCCAATGTGAGGACAGTCTCTCCTTTCTATAGGGCCTAAGCTAACGTTAATCCACATAACAATTATGACGGCCACTTTTTAATCCGAAGGGCTTATTCAGCCCTGTTTTCCAGCCAATGTCAGGATAGTCTCTCCTTTCTATAGGGCCTAAGCTGACGTTAATCCACATAACAATTTTAATCTCTGAATAATCATGAGAGGTAAAGAGACAGAGAGGACAGAGTGAGACCTCCTGGTAAAGCGAAAGCCCCCTCAAAGCCTGGAGGAGGTTGTGTTTAGAATAAATCAAAGCAAGGAGTTTGCATAGCAGGCAGTCTACGCATGGGATTCCCTCCCCAAGAGCTTATGCAAGTTGAAACGGTTGACGAGTTCAAGGCGGGCTCGGCTCAATTCACAGATGGGCTTGATGAGGGCTTAGGAAGGGCATGTCTTGGAGAGCTGCTCCGAAAAGGAGGATTCTAGGAGAAATCGTGCTGAGACTCTGGGAGGCAGCCTGAATTCCTGTGCACGTGGTCGTAGAATCCTCACCGTGTCCTGTCCCCACGTCTCTGAGGTTTCCCACCCCAGCGGGTCTCCGTCTGACCCTTTCTGCAAGGATGTGGGGGGTGAGTGAGCCCTGGGGGTGGGGGTCGTGGCGGTGGTTTTATCACACACCGTTTTTGCCTTTGCCGAAGTCAGGGTTCAGGATGACAGCACTGTGCACAGCGGTGGTTAACTTTGCTCGCAGTGCACAGGGAGCGGTTGCTGTGCAGAAGCGAGTCCTCGTTACGGGGTACAGGAACTCTTAAGGTTAGTGGAGGAAAACTTGAAACCATCGTGGGACAGGATATGCAAAGGGGAAATCCCTTGGAGACTGTGTTAATTACTTGAAGAGAAAAACGAAATGAGCTTAAATTATCCATATTTCTCAGGAGAGGCCTTGCTGACTTAAAAATTATTTGTCTTCGATATGAATTCCTTGTAATTGTTTATTAATCTAAGTAAGTTTGACAGCTCTTCATGGAGCCACGAACTGTCAGGTTTGGAATGACTGGATTAGCAGCCGCTTACTCTATGTTCTAGCACGGCCACCAGCATCGCTGCCCCCCTCACCGTCACCACTGTTAACATTGTCACCTTGACCTTCTCCTTCATCATCGCCATCCCCTCACCATGATAACCAACACCGCCTCTGCTGTTACCACCACCGCCCTCAGTATCACCACCATCCCCGCCATCACCACCATCACGGTCACCATCACCATCCCCGCCATCATCACCACCCTCACCATCACCATCACCACCATCACGGTCACCGTCACCATCACGGTCACCGTCACCATCACCACCACCCTCAGTATCACCACCATCCCCGCCATCACCACCATCACCACCACCACCACCACTATCCCCACCATCACCATCACCATCACTACCATCACGGTCACCGTCACCACCATCACCTCACCATGATAACCAACACCGCCTCTGCTGTTACCATCACCTCACAATGATAACCAACACCGCCTCTGCTGTTACCACCACCACCACCACCCTCAGTATCAACACCATCACTGCCATCACCATCACCATCACCACCATCACGGTCACCGTCACCATCACCACCACCACCACCGTCACGGTCACTGTCATCATCACCATCATCACCACCAGTATTATCACCATCACCATCACCATCACCATCACCATCACCATCACCACCACCCTCACCACCACCCTCAGTATCAACACCATCACCGCCATCACCATCACCATTACCACCATCACGGTCACCGTCACCATCACCATCACCACCACCGTCACCATCCCCATCACTGTCACCACCACCATCACCACCACCGTCACCACTATCATCCCCGCCATCATCATCACCATCATCACCACCAGTATTATCACCATCACTGTCACCATCACCACCATCACGGTCACTGTCACCATCACCATCACCACCACCACCAACACCATCATCACCACCCACCACCACCACCACAACCATCCCCATCACCGTCACCATCCCCATCATCATCACCACCACCACCACCATAACCATCACTATCACCACCACCATCACCATCACTACCACCACCGTCACCATCACCACCACCACCACCACCATCACCATCACCGTCACCATCACCACCACCGACACCGTCACCAGTATTATCACCATCACCACCACCAGCAGCAGCAACAGCATCACCACCACTATCTACCATCACCGACATTTCCAACATCCCCACCACCCCCACCATCAGCATCGTTGTGTCAGCAAATGCCTGAGTGCCTGAATTTTGCCAGCCATTGATGTCGTGGTCCTCTCTTTTGTCTCCATCAAGGGCTCATCCAACTGTGCCGGGTGTGCTCGCTCTCCAGGAAGCATATTGCACTCAGAGCAGCTCGGATCCAATCAGACTCTTTCCTTGTGTAGAGCCAAAGTTCCCTTGCATGTAATCCCCAAATTTACATGTCTGTGGTTAGGGTCCTTTATTTCATGGATAAGTTCTTGATATATGAGGCGAACTCTCACTCTCCTCATCCAAAGTTCTTTCTTCCAGGAAATCTTTCAAAGTTGTAGGCGAGTCTGTTGCCTCACTTTTTAGGTTTTTTGTTTGTTTGTTTGTTTGTCTGTTTACTTGTTTGTTATTTTTCCTTTTTCAAGGTTCAGGCTCAAACTGTATCACCCCATTTCCAGTTTCCAAATCACTTTGACCAAAACTTTTAGTCTGACCTGTTACCCTGGGTTCTGTATCCCCCTGACCCAGTGCTCGGGTCCTGGAAGGTGTCATCATGCCTTCTCATCCTGTGGTCCGTTGAGGGACTCTGTCACGTCAGTAAGTCGGAACATCTTCCCCAGCTCACAACTGGAACCAGCTTCTTCTCCCTTGCTCCCAGAAACAATGTCCACACGTATCCGTGTCTACCATCTACAACTTAAGAATGACAGTCGGGGCCTTTGCAGAGAACTGTCCGGTGGTGTCATCATTCTTCCTTCTTTGGAGATTTGGTGTTCCTCGGCTCTGTTGAGCTTCTCTATTGAGTCCTAAAATAATAAATGTATCACCAGATGAAGAATGGGTCTCTTCTGGTAAATAGAGTACTGCAAAAGAAGTAGATTCTGTGGCATTAAAAAAAGGCAAGTGCCTGCTGCAGGCTTTCCATACAGGGCACCGGAGTCCCTTCAGCCACAAGGCTGTCCGGACAACGCTCTCATTCTTCCAGCTAGTGGGACTGGGAAAGCAGCCTTATCTCCTTGTTCAAAGTCAATAGGATGCCAGTAGCTCACAGATGTCCTTTGAACTTAGTTATCTTCCTCTCAGTATCAATCCTCTTTGAAGTCAAAGCCATTCTCCTTGGCCGCAAGTTCACTTGGACTGCTGCTTATATTTAGTGGTTTGGTGAGGGGGCGGGGAGGTCATTCCTAAAAGATCGTAGGACCCAGTCTCAGGAGGGCTGATCTAGAAGCCTGAGGAAATCGGTAATTTGGTTAGCGTGTCGTTAGTAGAGCTATTTAGACTGTGATGAACACGATGCCATCGCTGTACATTGGATGGTGCTGATCAGGCATGCGAGGGATGGGCTCTTTTTAAGGAAACAAAACTAGTTTTGTTAAGTCCATGAATTAGAAACCCTTGCTCTCATGGAGGTTACAGCTATGAGTTCTGCTTGGCAGTTTTATCTTAGTGTATATATTACATACTCCGGATGTTTATAAAGCCCTTGAACAAATTTAAAATTTAATAACTTTGGATGTACGTCTAATAGGAGCAAATGGTAAACATCAGATGAAAGCGTAATTTATGAAGTCTTACACGGGTTCCAATTCAGATATCTAAGTTCGCCATAAAGCTTCTGAATTATGAACAACAATAATTCTGAATTATCAACTAATTTTATTAGTTGAGCTTAGGATTCTAATTATAAATTCATTCACAGAAGATGCTTTTCATGAGTGAACTATTATACTATTAAAATAGAATATGATTGGCTTCATCGTAGCCAATAGTACATAAATTCTTCAGGACACATCGTATGTTAAATAAAATTAAAGGACACCGATAAATCAATGCTAAAGTTCCTATAAACTCTTCTGATAATTCAATTTTTCCTAAAATGTCTAAGCTCCAAGTTATTGGAGTGTTTTAAAGTACCAGGACTTCATAAATACACTAGATAAATGTGTATAGGCCTTTTGTTGAGAGCTAAGCACAAGGTATCAATCCGTTTCTTTTTTTAGAAAAAACTGGGTGCTTGTGAAGCTCATCAGAACAGAGGGGTTGATTTCTTCTCTCACTTTTCTTTCAGAGACGATAATCCGTCTACTATTTGAACTGTCTAAATCCCTTGCAAACCAGTGGGCACCACCCACAGTCCTCCTCCCAGCTTCGGGGTCACCCTTACATGCATTTCTAACCTGAGAGCCCGGCCCGGTCGCTCAGCCTCCCGATGCTGGACGACTCTCATCCCCAGCGTTTGGTTGGCTTGCAGGGAACTGTGGTTCAAACACAGCTGATCTGACTTTACTTGCTGCTAGTACATTCCAGATCGAAAGGCTCACTCTACGAAGAGCGACGTTCGCATGCATCTCTGTATGTTGTTCGATGAGTTCAGCGTAGTCCTGTGATGCCGATGCAGTTCGCTGCAACAGGACCTGCAGCAATCGGAGACCCGTCTTCCCTCCAGAGCCCCAGCTGTGGCTGATGCGAATGCATCCCCTCGCCGGCCTGCCTGTCCAGGCTCCTTTCCCCCTTCATGAAAGGCAGTCGGGTGCTACTGAGTTTTCCTAGGGACTCCCACACCCAGTCAGTTCATAAACACTTCACAGAGCTTCGCTGTCTTACAGATGAAGATAATCCCCAGTCAGCCTGGTTTTCAGCTCAAAAGCCAGGCTGTCTGGTTCTTTCTTCCCTTTGCAGTCATTTAAGGCACAGTATTTGCTTTCAATGACTAGTCTCTCCGTATGACCCTGTCCAACGAACCCCCTTCCCCTCTCCAGGAATGTACGAGTCTCTGCTGCAATGCCACCACGTGTACCCTGAAGCCAGATGCTGTATGCGCACACGGACTATGCTGTGAAGACTGCCAGGTGAGTCCCCTGGCCCCGAGGTCACCCACATCAAATGCTTCAACACTGACGCAGGGCAAGCAACGTGGCCAGACGGTTTCCTGGCACCTACTGCTGCAGAAACTGTAACTCCTCGTCACACATGTCGGTGTTATCACCTCCTCCAGTAATAATTATTATCTTCCAGTCTCTGTGTGAAATGCACATTTTTATGCTAGGTCCTCTATGATAAATTATTTATCAGCTGAAAAGTAATTGGACCAAAAAACTCAAGTTCTACGTTAAATATTCCAGTTGTGCCGTTGGAGGCGCATGTGGTCCCTTCACCATAACCAGACTAAGGGCTCGAAAACAGGTCCCCACTCCTGTCACTCAGCCTCACGCCGGCTCCCTCCGCTTGACCAAGAACATCTGCCTGCTGGGCTGGGAGGCCTCGCGGGCTGTCCCTATCACAGAAAGTGCCAGCTGACCCAGCCCGGCCAAGAGTGGCGTGGTCACAGCTCTGCCATCTCTGCCACCATCGCCACACTTGTCTGGGCCATCCCATTGTTTGTCTCGTGCTTCAGAGCTGAGGTCTGACCGAGAAGCCCGAGACCTTAATTGACAGGTGCCAAGGGTGGAATTTCATTTCTGTTTGGTTAAGCGATCGACCTTGGCATTCTGCCTGCAGGAAGCTCCCTCTCAGAGCACCGTGATTCAGAAGCACGTTAAAACATTTTGCGTTCAGCTTAAAACATCCTTTTTCTCTTCCTGCTACTTGTGATTAACTCGTAGGACCATTCAAAGAAGCCGGCACCGCCGGCATGCAGCAGCCGGTGGCAGAAGTTCTTTGGGGGGTTGGGTGGGGGCAGTCGCTGGGAGCCTTAATGTTCTCAACCACAGAGAGATGAGGCGCTGGCCGGATGGCCCCCGACACCCTGCACCTCTCCCTGCTCTGCTTCTCCACCTCTCCCCAAAAAGTCCTGCCACCAGTTTTCCAGCTCTGTGATTTGATGACAACGTACAATTGCTATTGTGATTGTGCCCTTGGAATTATTTTTGTCAGCTTGCCCAGAAATGCTAACGCTGTACGTGTAAACCTCATCTTCAAACATGTGACGGTGTTGGTGACCAGAGATCCTTTCCTTAAGAATCAACGCGTCCATCGGGGAGCACTCCCCACCCCTACCCCTAAGTGGCAGGTGCCAGTGACCAGCTGGTGTGCTCATCAGGAAACCCTAATGACACTAAAAACACTAAAAAGAGGCCGCGCCCCGCAGCGGAGGGGGGACCCCCAGAGCAAGGCTCTTTATGCAGCGTCTCTCTGTGCTGCACGGGGCCTGGCTCTGCGAGCCTCGCCCGTCGCTGTGAGGCTCCGGGAGCCCTGCTGGGAACCGCTGCCCCTGCCCGCAGCGCACGCGCTACAGACGCTCTGTCGTTGCAGCTGAAACCAGCGGGAACGGCGTGCAGGGACCCCAGCAACTCCTGCGACCTCCCGGAGTTCTGCTCGGGCTCCAGCCCCCACTGCCCGGCCAACGTGTACCTGCACGACGGGCACCCGTGCCAGGGCCTAGATGGCTACTGCTACAACGGCGTCTGTCAGACCCACGAGCAGCAATGCGTCACGCTCTGGGGACCAGGTACGTGCTGCCACCGGCCCAGCCCCGAGCGCGGGGCTGGGACCTCGCCCGCTGCTTACTCCTGGGGCACAGTGTCTACTGCAGGAATTGGCTCCTGGCACGGCCGGGGCCTGCCGGGCACTGGGCTAAGCCGGAGCCAGCCCTGCGGGGCTCAGTGTGATCCAGCCAGAGATGTGTGAGCTCCTACTGCTTGCCTCACGGGTGACAGTACTGATCGGCCATGACCTCTGACCTCAGACAGCTTAACAGGTAGTTGGACAGACAGACAGAACTCGCCACCACCACTCTGGCTGTGTAAGTGCTTCTTACTGCTCAAACAAAGACCCCCGACCTGGGGCTGAGGGTGCCAGAGAAAGTCACCGCCGAGGCAGGGGGCGGGTGGCAGACCTGCTGCGTGAGTGGTCTGTGACCGGGGAGGGCGGGGAGCAGCAAGCCAGCACTCACCGGGAAGGCGCACTGAAGGGACAGCTGGGGTGGGACACCCACACCCAGAGCTCAGAGACAGCAGCGAAGTGGAAGGCGCCGAGTGACGGACTCGAAGAAGCCCCCGGGCAGGAAGGTGGCCGTCCGCTCGAGGCCGTTCGTTCGCCACGTCTCGTGTGTGGGCATCTCGGCTGGGTGCTCGGTATGATCTGTCCCTTCTCACCTACCAACTAGCCCTGAGGTAGGGACAGTGACTAGAGTTTTACAGAAGGCAAAGCTCAAACGCGGAGGCCAGAAGTCGGTTTCCCGAAGCTGTGAGGCTGGGGTCTGAACCCAGGCCACTGTGACCCAAAACCTACGTGTAACTCACACACGGTGCTATCACCCCGAAGAGCCCGGTCTTGAACTAAAATTCCACAGAAGCTCTAAAATGCAATGGCTGCTCAGATGTGAACAGGGGAGAATCAGCCCCCCGCGTGTGGCTCTCCTGTGTCACCCCAACTTCTAGAGCAAAGGTCCGGGGCCCTGTGGGGTCCTCACCCCAGCATCTGCTGCTCAACCCCAGCCTCCACGAGGAGCACGGGCCCCACCCTGTCCTCATTTTTCCCACTCCCACTGGCTGTAGAAGTGACCTCAGTTCTGGCTGGAGCCCCTAGCTGTGGCCAGGCCACTGCGGTCAGCCAGGCCCCAGCTCTAGAGGGGAGCGAAATCCGATATGGCCCTTTGTCGGGCTTTTGTGGTGAGGTTTGGGTTTTTAGAATGACGAGGGGAGTAAACTAGGGCAGAAAATGATGACTAGACATGAGTTTGGGTTTTAAATGGGGTGTGAAAGCAAAGGTCGAAGCAAAGAGAACAGCACAGAGGGGTCCTGGGGCCGGGTCCTGGCCGGAGCCCCCAGCCCCGCCCCAGCCGGAGCGGCCCCTCTGCACCTGGAACCTTGTGAGGGAGAGGAGAGCTCAGCCTGGGTGCAGCGGCGTGGGGCGGGCGCAGCCCCGGTCCGTCTCGCCCTCTGAGGCCGTCCAGCGTGCCTCGGGCTCTGTGGGTATGCTGCGGCAGGTGGCAAGGGGTCCTGTGGGGCCTGGGGCCTCAGTGCTTCATCTTTGGACCTGACCAGCTGCCAGCCCTGGCCTCCTTGCCTGCTGGGCGGGGAGGGCGCCCAGGCAAGCTTGGGGTCTCACGGTCTCAAGCTGGGCGAATGCCTTGCAATGACAAGCAGAAAGTAGGCACTCACTATACACGTGTCGAATGGTTACATGGGCTCTGAATGGTTTAGTGACTTCAGACATCTTTCAGCCAAGTAAGGTCACCTTGGGACAGTGGCTACGGCTGCAGGCCAAATCTTCATGGCATAAAGCGTCCCTAGTGGCTGTCCCTTCCCAGGCTTTCTCCAGACTCGGTCATCTCCCCTTCTTGAGTTACGGGGGACGTTATAATGCTCCCTTCCAGGGAGCAGTCTGTGGCCAGAGCACACACAGCACTTGGAGCCTCGAGAATGGAATGCACTCTTCAGCGTCCTGCTGTATGATGGCGTCTGGCCTCAATTCCAAAGTGAGGTCAGATGGAGCGCCACAGCTCTCTCTCCGGCCACCACCACTGTGTGACTCAGCTGGCCGCAAGCCTTTGATTCATGGTGACCAAGCCTGGTATTTATTATCTCATCAGATTAGTTCTTCTCAAGCTGCCTGACCAGAGAGAGAGAGAGAGAGAGAGAGCTAGACAGGCAGACAAACCGACAACCTGACTCATGGACTGAGCTTTCCAAAAGCGAGAGCAGCAGGAAGTTAGTTACCTGCTTTGAACTCTCAATGTCCTGTGGCCAAGGGCGAGGCCGGAGGCCGGCCTGCGGGGGACCCCACGCCAGTTCCCAAGGAGGGGCCGCTGCCTGGAGCTCCCAGCTCTGTCCCTTCCCCGCCCTCACCCTGCTGACGGAGGAGACGCCTGCCTGGGCCGTGGTGGGTTTGCCGTGAGGGGGTTATCGCACGCAGACTAACCACCCCTGGCACGAGGGATGCTCAGAGCTCCTGGAAGCGACAGGTGTGGGGACCAGATTTAGGAAGCTACTTCGGGTTCGTGACTCTGGGCTTCAGTCTTCCTCGGCCAACCCCTTCTTCGTACTTCCGACCCCACACGAACTCCCTCGGGAGGGCAGAGAATGTGTGCGCTGCACCGGCCATGGCCCTCCGTCTTTGGGGGCTTCTCACCCCTTGCAAATGCAGTGTGTCCCTTCTCTCGGTTGGCATTGCCGCGTCATCGTCCAGTTCAAGGGCACATGAGTTTCCCGTGGCTGCTGTAACAGATCGCCACAAACTTGGGGGATTACAGCCATACACGTCTGTCATCGCATAGTTCTGGGGGTCAGAAACACTAAGACGAACATGTGGGCAGGGCAGGGCTCCTTCTGGGGGCGCTAGCGGAGACTCCATTTCCGGCTCTCAGCGGCCACCTGCACTCCTTGGCTCGTGGTCCCTTCCTGCATCCCCAAGGCCGGCGGCACAGCATCTCCGAATCTCTGTCTCTCTCCGGCCCCTCCTGCACTCACATCTCCTCCTCTGACCCTCCTGCCTTCCTCTTATGAGCCTCGCGGACTCACCAGATTATCAGGATGATCCCCCCTCGCAATCACATCTTCGGTCCCTTTTGCCACACAAGGCAACATTGTCACAGGTTCCAAGGATAAGGGTACAGGCCTCTTTGGGGTTCTGTTTTCTGCCTGCCACAGGCGTTGCACAGACCACTGTTAGGCACGGTGACCTTCAGCAGATACTCGACCTCGTTGTGCCTCATCTATAGAATGGGGACAGCAGTGTGCCTGCCCCACGGGTATGTGGTTGTCCTCTCACGTAGCTTAGTGTCTATTCTACGTGATATGTCACGTGTACTAGCATGCTGGGTGCACAGGACCCAGTAAAGCTGTATTTGCAGGAAGCTCACAGACCAGTGAGCACGATCCTTGAGTCCTGGGCCATCTACGGCTGTGATATGGTGGTGCATGGAAGAGACGGGGGGTTCAGCCTGGCAGTGAGGGGGGTGGTGCTGGTGGAGTCAATCAGGAAGGCATCCTAGATGGGGTTGGCCTGGAGTAGTCATTTGCCAGGGCAGAAAGGAAGGGTATTTCCTGCATATAGAACGGCAGAGGTCAAGGCACACGGGGACCATGGGGCCACTTCAGGGACGTGCGGGCAGGTCTGCTCGTCTAGAGCTTGGGCTGTGGCCTGGAGGAGAGCAGAGATCTTCAGGTCACCCCATCCTCTTATTCATTAACTGTTCTTTGCTGTCCTGCTATTATAAGATGCTGACTCAAGAGCGCTGTTTATGCCAGAGTGACATACTTTCCACAGTTCCTGTGCGCTCTTGCCTGGACCTGGAGTAGGGTCAGGATGTGACCGTCACAGTCCCGGGGGCGGAGGGAACTTCCTCAGCCAGGCCCCTGGCCAGCTAGACGCAAGGGGCTGAGAGCGTTTGAACGCTGGTTGGCTTGAATTCGCTTTCAGGATTCAGGAAAGGAAAACTTACTGATGAGGATGCACTTGCAATATCTTGTTTTCCCATCCGTCCACGAATGCTCTGAACACCAGGCGTCCCTGGGCTCTTGCTCTGCCGGCCCATGCCATTTGCCCCCAGGTGACCTGGCCGAGTTAGTGACTCATCCAGGACTCTCCAGTTACAGTCAGGAAGTCGGTTACTCACTCTGCAGATCTGGCTGCCCGAGACTAACCGGATGAAGCCGTTCCCTCCAGCCAGCCAGCCCCTTTCGAAATGGGCTCATCTCAATCCAAAATAATCCTGCTTTTAAATCTTTCTACAACTGAGATGATAAAAAATTCAAAACCTACGCCCATACCTCCTTAACTGGCAAAGTAATACACTTTCAGACTCTCTCTTTAGTTTTTTGCTACATTTGTTTCTTTTTCAAATTATTGCTGATGATGATCTCATTGGCTAGGAGTTTAATTTTTTTTTTCCTCGCTGATTTTGCACCCACGAATCTCAACGTTTTATATGTTGATGTCAAACACGTCAATGTTATCAGCAGTTCAAACTGCGACTTGTATTAGTCGTCCTTGTCCAGCTTAGTCTTAACAGCCCGAAGATTTTCTGTCAATGCGACACGACCTTTACTCCCTCTGAAATACAGCTAAATATTTTTCTTCAGGCAGAAAATTTACTTTTGCCAACGCTGTTTATCTGAAACACTAGCATGGGCACAGGAAACAGTACTTGGAAATCGGTCTTGCAGATGACTACATGTCTAGAGCCACAAACGTCGTGCGTCGGGGAAGTCCTGAATTATGTCCATTTCATCTATTTTATCACTCACTGGAATCTCGTGCCACCCGATTCATGCGGTGTGAGCGAGCCAGACGATTTTTATGAGCTGGTGAGTATTGAGTATTTATCTGTAAGGCCCATTTAAACGAGTTCAGTTTATCATAACACACCCGGAGTACTGCATTCGCTCGTCATCTACAGCTACGGCGGCTGCAGAGGGCAAGAAATTGTTCCAAGAGCCATGTTGTTTGGGAGTCAGGAAAGTCTTCCTCCCACAGTGGGAGAAGGAAAGGGTAAACTTTGTTTCTTTAGGCTTCGTTTTCTGATTGAAGCGGAGGTCGACTTGGGGAAGCGAGACAGGGGAGCAGAGAGAGCACCAGACCCTCCAGTTGTTTCTAGAAGTGCCCGTCTGTGGACGTTCGTGGCGGGGAGAAGGAGCCTGAAGTACATTTGCATAATGGAGTCATTTTAAGGAAAGATTAGAGCAAGTAAATTGTGGGCTTAAATCAAGATGTCATCATGTCTCTTTCGAAAGACATAATGACACTGGGAAATTCCAAACTACGATTACAAATAGAAGTTATATCACTTGGAAGATAAAACTAGAAATGAAAACCCAGCGCTTCCTATATAATTATAAAATACAGTGGAATGTCAAAACTCCCTCTGAAAGACTCGGTTTTATCTTTGGATAATGGCAAAACCTGTACACGTTCCATCGTTAAGAAGTCTCAGGCTGTAAATTGATGCCGCATAATAGTGGTTAAGAAGACGTCATTTTTTTTTTCAAGGGAGAGACATGAACCCTCTTGTCTTCATGAAAACATGAAGACAGGCATTTTTTAAGTGCAGTAGTGTTGAACAAATCTGTGCATTTTTTAAGTGCAGTAGTGTTGAACAAATCTGTGCTTTAGAACACTTCATTTACCGTAAGTCATCTACGGTAGATGTCAGGTGGCCTCTAACACACAAAAGCGACACGGAAGACTTTGCTGGACCTCGTCCACTGTCCGCACTGGCCTTGGCAGGTTCCACAGCCCAGGCGCTCACCAAGTTGTCTCTGGGTTTGTGTCTCCACATCTGTTCCCTTTGCCGATGTTTTTCTTTAAGCCAGAGCTGCCTCAGCTCCCGAGGTCAACACGGAGACCCCAGAACGAGGTCTCCTGCTTACGAGGTTCCTCACTTGGCCTGAACTTGAAGGAAACGGTAGTTGCTCTTTGCAGCAAGTACAAGGTGTCTCGTCATGAACTCACATCTTTGCCCTCATAAGACAGCATGGTGATACTTCACTGGGTGAAAATCCCGACTCACAGGACAGAGAAGCCAGGAGATGCGTCCACCTACCTAAGATGCTTTGTTCCACAGAAGTCACAGTTGACTTCCTCTGGGGAGGCCATTGGAGACATGTCTTTCCCCAGAATGCTTTGCCTGTGGCTTTTCTCTCGTTTGTCCTTGGACGGCACCCGGTCTGCACAGGCCTGAGGCGCCGTCCCTGCCCTCAGGGGTTTTGACAGGCAGGTGCCTTGGGACATCACAAGGCAAGAGCAAGTGTAAGTAGGAGGAAGGGACAGCCCTACGGGAGGGATGAGAGGAGGAGGCCTGACCCCGGCCTCGGGGACGGCGGGGATGGAGGGAGTTCCTGCAGGACACAGTCAGGTGCAGAGGGACACAGCAGCCAGGACCCTCCCACTGGCTCCAGTGGCATTCCAAGGAAGACTCTGATTACCTGGCTTCAGTCACGTGCTGGCCTTGGCCCAGTCATGTGACCGGTGGCCTTGGAGCACTCTGGCCAGACGCTCATCCATTTGGCATTGGGGAAGGAAACAGCCCACCTGAACCAGATAAAATGGGTTTTCCGTAAGAAAAGAGTTCTGTTCCCCAAAAAAAGGATCTGGGAGAAGTGTTTGGTGACATGAACAGGTGAACTGCCCCGGAACCTACCTGCAGCGTCCTGCACGCAGCTTGAAACGAGGTGGGACAGCAGGATGCGCTGTGACCCGGGTCGGGCCTCGACAGTTTATGTACTTCTCAGACGAGTTTGTTTTTCAAACTCCTTGGCCTTTAAGCATCCACGCACAATTTCTCACCCAGCTTGAAGACCCCAGGGTAGGAAACGCCAACCCCCTGGACGAGAACAAGCACTGTAAACAGAGTCCTGCTCCATCCTCCTCCACCTTCTGCCCCTCGGCCCCCACCCCAAATTAACAGCGGTTTCAGAGTATTGATGAAAGCTGGTGAAAGTTTTCAGTCCCTGACAGGTTTTCCTCTAAGACGTTTACCCTGAGCAGACTGCCCAGAGCCACAGCCCGTGAGGCCGTTGTTTTCTTCACAGTGCTCCACCACTGGGCTTCAGGGGACAGAGTCACATGTTTGTTTTCTGTTTGACCTTGCAATTTTAAAGCAAGCAAGAGTGTTATCCCAATTGCTCAGCATTATACCCCCAGCGCCCAGCAGAGAGTAAGTGCCAAATAAATCTGTGTGTAATGGAAGCCTGCAACATGAGGGGAGGACGGAGGATGGAGGATGGAGGGTGGAGGATGGAGGATGGAGGGTGGGTGGGTAGGTGGATGGATGGATGGATGGATGGATGGAGGATGGGAGGATGGATGGACGGACGGATAGACGATGGACAGACGAGTGGGTGGGTGGGTGGGTGGATGATGGATAGGTAGGTAGATGGGTGGATGATGGATAGGTAGATGGGTGGATTGATGGATAGAAGGAAGAAAAGACGGAGTGAAGGAGAGACAAAGCCAGACAGACCGGCGATATATCCATAGGGTCCATGCAAATACAGAACTGCCGAGTTTCTGGTATTCATGTGCCGGGCTTTTCAAACCGCTTTGGTCAGTTGGATCCAGGTACTTTGATCAAAGTCCCATCAAACAGGATTAATTGAAGTGCAAAGTGCGGGCTCAAGGTGGAGGCTCACCGACCCCATCCCTCTCCCCTCCAGCAAGCAGATGAAAAAGAGGAGGGCAGAATGGGGGAGAAACAGCCCCGCGACAGGCGGGCGCAGAGTGTGTCAGTGGTGCGGTCACGCCGTGAGCAGAGACGTGAATCTGGGGCGCAGAGAAAGGAATGTGAGGCTGGGGAACCGGAGGCCTTGCCTCTTTCCGTGAATGGTGTTCGGTTTGGGGTGATGACCAAATGGAGTTTGGAGAGGCCTCTCCAAAATGGTTTAAAAAAACTGAGTGGGACGATGAGAGCCCAGGATGGGGGCGATTCAGTGCAGAGGCCACTGGCTGAACCCGTTACCGATCTCAACTGTTGCAAAGGTTTTGGTTTGATTTATCCGATTGTTTGTTTTAATGAGATGCTGATCACATCTGCTCGTAGCTAAGAAGAGGGGTTGGGGACAGGCTGAAGAAAGATGGATGTTTTTAGTGCTAAGAACAACTTGCCCCCTGGGAGAACATTAGATTGGTGTCTTACATAAGCCTTGGAAGGCAAATGGAGCCCCCGTTGTTGGGAGTGGAGACAGGCAAAGTCGGGAGCAGAGACGCTGGCATCCCAGCAGAGGAGAGGAAGCACCCAGACCACACACCCACGTGCGAGAGAGGGCAGGCCAAGGTCACAGCACAGGGCACAGTTTACGGTGAAGAAAGCAGAACATTTCTCCAAATTTCTCAGACAGTCAATAGAGGTCGCTGGGCCTAGGGTGCGAGGGCCCCCCAAGGCTTCGGCAGCATGAACCCCACGGCGTGTTTTCTCTGTCCCTGGTCGGAAGATGTGCTAGAAATGGCCATCCCCCGAGCTCTCTGGCTCCCGCGCTCCTTCGACTAGCAAGGCCATGCTGTGGGGAGCGGCTACCGGGTGTTACGCCTCCACGGCCTCCGACGGGAGCCTCTGCCTTGCAGACACGGTGGGGCTCTATGAGGTGAGAGCGTCCCGTGAGATCTCTGCGTTCTCGTTTGTTCTCCCTCACTGGCTCCCCACGTTAGTCATTCGCCCTCGCAGCTGCTGGAGCTTGCATTTTCTCACCGGAACTGTGTGGGATGTGGTGAGAGAGGGCCAGCTTCCCCCTGGTCCTGCAGCCAGCCGGCCACCCCCTTTCTCTGCAGATCGGGTCTGACCCCACTGCCAGGCCTCGCGTCCCGAGAGGCTGCACGTGCCACCGGCCCGAGCTGAGCTGAGAGTGGAGGCCCAGCCCCCACCGCCGGCTCCTGTCGGGCATCTGCCAAGACGCCCGAGAGGCCTCTGGATGCAGAACACTCCTCCCCTTAACCAGGAAGCCCAGTGCCATCCAGAGAAAAGTACTAAAATTACTTGCAGGAGGTGATGGTACTGTTTTGCTTCTGTTTCAGGCGCTAAGCCCGCTCCTGGGATCTGCTTTGAGAGAGTCAACTCTGCAGGTGACCCTTACGGCAACTGTGGCAAAAGCTCCAAGGGTTCCTTTGCCAAATGCGAGCTGAGGTATGGAACCGGCCACGCCACCACTCTGAGCTCCCCGCATCGCGTCGGGCGGGTTCCAAGCCTCCCCTCTCTGGGGGACCGTTTCTTCTCGCCCTTCCAGAGACGCTAAATGTGGGAAAATCCAGTGTCAAGGAGGTGCCAGCCGGCCGGTCATCGGTACCAATGCCGTTTCCATAGAAACGAACATCCCGCTGCAGGAAGGAGGTCGGATTCTGTGCCGCGGGACCCACGTGTACTTGGGCGATGACATGCCGGACCCGGGGCTCGTGCTGGCCGGCACGAAGTGCGCGGATGGAAAAGTAAGACCCCAAAGCGCGATGCTCACTCGCACTGTAAGGCTGGAAGGGCGCCCGCTGCAGAGTGTCTTATCCAAGAACTGAGTTAGGAGGTCGGTTTGGTTCCCTAAACTCCTTCTGAGAACTCCCTCTCTGGAATCTGGTTCTTTGCACCTAGAAGAAAAGGTCAATAAATCCCAGAGATTTAGACTCCATTTCAATGTGGGCCATTGAGATGCAGATTTGGGGAAACCAAGCTTGTTTTCGTCAGTCCGTTAGTGTTCAGAAGTCATTCCCACTCTCTGGGTGTCTGAGGGTTTCCAGCCAGGAAATTACTTTGGAAGGAAACACTGGAGCCCATGATATTGTTCTTGGAAACGTGGCCTTGGTTCTTGGCACGGAGTTGCTGGGGACTTGTTCTCACCTGGAGAGAATGAGAAGTCGGGTACATTTTCAGAGACCCCCGTAGAGAGAATAGGGAGGCGAAGAGATGGGATAAGCTTAACACCAGGAGTGAGTTCCTTTGGAGACTGGGGGAAATGTAGACTGGGATAGTTGAAGGTTTAGAAATAAAGTCAAAAATGAAAAAAAAAAAATTTTTGAGATTTTTCACATTCTGCCATGTTGATTTTTCTTCACCAAACTTTCTCATCAGACTAAATGATAGCAAGTTAATAAAATATTTTAGGACAGAAGATGAATCAACCTCCACATGATTTTTTAGGACCCCGTTATGAATCACTCGCTAACATGGACGTCACAAAGTAAGAAGAAAAATACACATTCAGATCCTTTCACAGAGTCCCCAGGGCAGGAATTTCCTCTGTCACCCCTCTTTCCCCCAGACACCCTCAGCCACAATGTTTTATCTTTGAGGAAGTAGGATGATACGTGAAGCCTGTCATACACTCTGGCCATCTCCCGAGCCACACACGTTAGCTCCCAGTCAGGCCTCGACGTTAGAATGACTGCTTTTAACCCTGCGGTCTTAAACAACCAGGGCCAGGTGCATCTGCACACTGGAATTCCAAGGACTCGGTTTATCGATGAGTTTTTGCTTCCCGTGCAAGCTTAAATGAACTTTGATCTCTGTTTCTCTGTTTCTCTGTTTCTAAATGAACTTTGATCTCTGTTTCTACTAACACTGGGTTCTTTGAAAGCCATCTTTAGCCTTGGTGTGGGTTTGGAGAGCAGCACCTAGACGCTGTGATTCGGACTGGGGTTCTGGTGTGTTAATTGCATCCCCGGACCATTTCTTGTATCAGCTGGAATGTGACAGTCCTCTTAGCCAAGACTGCCACCCGCCTGGAGCTGCTCACGCCGGTACTTTCTCCAGAGAGCATTAATTGTGCCTTACACAAGCATTTGGGATCGGACGGTGAACTTCCCGTAGGAAGGTTCCACTTGATTTAAAAATGCTTCTGCGATCGAAAAATTAGGCTTTTCTTCTTTTGACTCCACTAATTTGTAGCATCTTATGGGAGATAAAGGTCCTGATCCCTTGAGTCTGGAGTATATTATGCACCTTTGAAATGAAACTAAACTCTTTCAACCAACCCGGTGTCATTAGCAAATGACTGCCTCTGCAGGGGCTTGATAAATACAAGGGGGCCGTCTGTTTTCCTCTGCTGAGCTTTTCTGTTGATGGTTTATGTCATCGGTGATAGCACTTGTCAGTCAGTGTTTTGGAAAAGTTCCCATATTTCAATATCTCCCTTAAAAGGTTCCTGGACCCTGAATTCTTGGAGTCTCTGAGTCTGTGCAGGCCCCAGGATAAGGACTGGTCCACTTCATCCGCTCCTGTATCTTTTAATGGGGGGGACGGGTTTTAATGGGGGGGACGAGGGGAGGGAGGGATGCTGCAATACATAGATTTCATTGCGAGCTTCCAACAAAAATCACGAGAAAATCAGTTATCAGAATTTCAGGATCGCCTGAAACCGTATAAAATGCTATGAGAGTCTAAAAGAACTCAGTGGCATTCACACCGAGCTGAGTCCCGACATGCGCCGGGCTGGGCGGCGGGCGGCGCGGTCCATGTCCCAGCGGAAAAGCGTGTCCTCCTGCTGCATCCACATCACCTGAAGGGAGGTCTTCGTCCCCAAACTTCCCGCGGCCTGCCCTTTTTGAATGCACAGACACGTGCGTGCACGTGGGCTCGCAGACGTACTGAGACGTTTGCTGTGTTTTTCTCCTTCTGTAGATCTGCCTCAATCGTCGGTGTCAAAATATTAGTGTCTTCGGTGTCCACGAATGTGCAAAGCAGTGCCATGGCAGAGGGGTGAGTGCACCGGGCTGGGCTGCCTTTGTTAGCCAGTCCGTAACAAATGAAGCACTAAGTCATTTATTTGTTGAGGCTTTTGCAATTTATACGTTTTTAAAAATATAGCAGCGTCTTCTCAATATTCTAAAGACCATTCCTTTCCTTTGACCTTTTCGTAGCAATGGCAAATGTGAGTTTTATTTAACAAAGAAAATCAGATTGAGCAGTGATTATCTTTCAAATTAACACTCATGATTTTTTTTTTTAAAAAGGACTTTGTCATCTTCAAAGTAATTTTAAGCCTAACCTTTCCTCGTGGAGAGTTTTGCAATAGCGTTGCAAGCTGAGCTATGTCCTTTTTACAACCGAGATTCGGAATGTGTCTGAACTGAAATGCTTCCAGAAAGAATTAGGACAGAGAAGACAGAACATACTGACCACATGTTCCCGAAATCACATACGATGGCTTTCAACTAAGGAAGGCTGTTATTTTAGTTCAGAGACTCTTTAGGGCAGAAGAAGACTCTAATTGTTTACAATATAATTTATTTTTCCTGACGGGCTTCATTATTTCCAATGGAATCATATTCATCTCGATTAGCCATGCCGGTGGTTCACATGTTTTGCTGAAACCTTTTCTACAGAAATCGTGCTCCAAATTCTATTTTTAAAACTTGCAGATACTTGCCAACGATTCGAACATAGAATTATGGGGTTTTTATATAATTACCGTTGTGCTGTAACCATAAAACATGGCAGCGCCACCTCGGATTGAATGGAGCTGACTGTCAACATGAAGCAGAATCTTTTTCTGCCTTCACCGGATCACAGGCTTCTTCCTAGTGGCTATAAGATCAGTGCAGCCTTTTTACTGCACTGATGAGGCAGCTCTGGCTCAAGTAGGGGTGACAATGTGTCCAAGGTTACATGACCACTTAATAGCAGCGCCGGCTCAGGGACGCTGGACTTCTCACCTGCCAGCCTCCCCGGGGGCCCATTCTCCGGGCAGGTGAAGCAGCTGCTGTGACTTGGCAACAAGTATCCCGACCACCGTCCCGCCCCAGTGACACCTGGCTCACCAGCAGCACCTGCGGGGGGGCGGAGGGGGGGCGGGTGCTAGCGCTTCCACCACCTGCTGCAAAGTGACCTCAATGACCACCCGGCAGTGGGAGACTGTGCAAAACAGCGTGGGCAGGACCGTGCCTGGGCCCGGGGGGTGGTGCACCTGTAGGGTCTTTGAAGAAGCCAGAGGTACACCGTTGGCTGTGCCACGTGGCAGCTAATTCTGCTTAGTCATAGTTTTGTAAAAAGATACTTTCGCATTTACATCCTCACTGTCTTATTTGAAGCAATTGAGGCAGGGGGTTGATTCATCCAAAAAAAAAAAAAAAATCAGTGAAAGCAGAGAAATATCACAATGAGACATATACTCCAAACATTTTATTTGGCCTTAAAATATGGAAGCGTATATTTGACCCCAACCTGTAATATCTAGATACGGGGCTGAGGCCTCCGGGCAGGTGGAAGCTGCCGTGCGAAGCTTGTGTCCTTAAGTGGAAGGCAAACTCGGACACTCGGAAGACACTGCGCCGCGGTCCATCCCGCAGGGCCCCGCCCATCCCAGCTGGTCAGAAATTCTTCTCGGTGACTCGCCTTTACCCAGTGTTCCCAAAGCATCGGGCTAATTGTCGTAGAAACGATGCCCTCTCGTTCCCATGCTCACATGCCACTGGTTCACGGAGCAGGTCAGCGAGCTGCACGTGCAACAAGCACAGGAGCAGCAGGTGACCGGGCGGCCGGAGTGGCCCCTCCGGGACCGCAGCCTCCACAGGTTGCTTGCTCAGGGAGCTGCCTCCTTGGGCACCCTTTCCCGTCACGCCAGAGCCATACTCCTGTTTCGCAGGGACAACAGCTCTTGGTTACGGTGCCCACGGGGCAGGGCCGGGAGCCAGGAAACTGCCACCGGGAGACTCTGCAGGAAGGAGGTGGCATCCCAGGCCAGAGATAAGGGAGCGGGCTCAGAGGAAGCGTCCCTTCTGCGGTATCAGGAAACAGGCAGCCCAGCTGTCGGCGCGTGGGGGACCCAGGTCACCCGGGTCACCCAGCCTCGCCGAGACGCCCATCTGCAAATGCCCAGGCTGGTCAGGCCCGCTCAGTGTCCACGTCCCCGAAGCCAGGCCCCTCTTCACCGCAGAGACGGCTTCTCATCGTGGCCAGATGCGGACGGTTTCCTGGGTGATACGAGCAGGGGCGGAGGGAGTGGCGGAGCCCTGTCTCCATGTTGCCTGACGGCAGCTGACAGGCACGTCAAGTGACACGTGTAGCCTGGGGCTCTGGTCTCCCCTGTGTGGAGCTGTGTTTTGGGCTTGTTTTCACAGGGACTGAGTCTGACTTTAGGGTGGAGATGGGGCCTTTGCTTCGCCGTGGTACCCAGGGAGGGCTCAGAGACTGCCTGCTGCCGCAGGTGGAGGGGCGCCCTAACTCTGCCGCAAGTGGCAGGGCGCCCTAACTCTGCTTCTGCCCCAGGCGGAGGTGCCCTAACTCTGCTTCCCTCTTGTCCTCCCCCCTGCCACTCGGAAGGTATGCAACAACAGGAGGAACTGCCATTGCGAGGCCCACTGGGCGCCCCCTCTCTGCGACAAGTCTGGTTTCGGAGGGAGCACGGACAGCGGCCCCATCCGGCGAGCAGGTTGGTGGCGACAGTGCATCCGGGCAGTGGGCGCCGAGCTACTGGGGGGCAGTGGGAAGCCGGGGGGACCTTTCCAGGGAAGACGGGGGGCTCACCAGCCATCGATGTGGGTGCGGGTCTCACCCCCAGGAAGCAGAACACTCGGGTGGGCCAGACACAGCCCCAGACCTCTCTCTGTTCCCAAATCCTCCGCTGTCCTCGTCCGCTCTTTCAGAGACCCCCTCGCTCTGCCTCAGCTGAGCAGCCGGGTTCGCCACTTTGAGCCTGGGACACTTTCCTCAGCCAAAGTCGCTTCAACGGTGGACTGACGAAGGGGTATAAGACTGCAAAGGCCGGTCCCTGTGCACCAGGACCAGCAGGTGTGGAGTTCGGTGCCTTTTAGGATTCTTACCAGAAAGACACCGTCCCCTGAAATGAAGGGGTGGCCTCAGCGGCGGTGGCAGCTTGCATTTACAGGGCAGCCGTTAGGCACAGGCACCACGCACGGCATCTTATGCCGTCTTTACATATAAAGGACCAGACGCTCAGGAGGTTAAGTCACCGGCCCAAAGTCCTACAGCTCAGATGGAGACGCGAGTCTGTCCATCCCCAGTGACGCCCTAAGAGCAGCTGTGCTTGAACCCGCAGTCCCGTGCTCCTCGGGTGACGCTGGGAAGTGGTCTCCCAGGGCTGTGGTCTCCTCTCTGAGCTCCTGTCAGGCGGCTCAGGGCCAAGTCTGAATGATGGAGGAGGAGAAAAGGCTCAGGGAGCCCGCACTGGGCATGGCCGGGGACCCAGGGGCAGGCGGGAAGTTAACGAGCCCCCTCGTGCTGCCACCTGGGTGCTCACCTGCGCCCCCCCCCCCGTGACGCTCAGACTGTGGCCAGTGCTCCTGCAGAGGGCGTCACCGGTCCCCAAGTCCTGCTGAGACTGGCAGTGTTGAATCAGCAGCTTTGCCACCGTTGCCATGACAACAGACACAACACAGCTCTGCGGGCCAGGCCGTGAGAGCAGCCAGCATTCAGGAGGGAAGGAGGCACCTAGCAGGCACGTCTGCGGGAACGGCGCCGTCATGAGGAAGGCAGCGAGTCCCCGCCACCCTGCTCCGCTGTGGCCGTGTCTCCACGTTGGCCCCGCTGCGCTGTCAGGCCGGGCCCCACAGCGGGCACACGAAGGACCGGCGTCTCACCCTCTCGCGAGCATCCCTCCCAGGGGCAGGGGCAAGGCCTGGCCCAGCGTCCCCTCCCCTCGCGGACATCTCGGCCTCGGGGACTGGCCTCTTGCTGCACCTCCATTTTCTAATGTGGCTTTAAGCATTTGTCGTACAGAAATAGCAGACGCCTAGTTTCTCATGGGCCGGGAACCTGCCGCCCATTCCACACTCAAGCTGACGGCACACGGAGGACGTGGACGAGGCGGCAGGGACCGGCCAGCGCGCCGCGTGTCTCCCTTTGGCGTGGACACGCCTGACGAGTGGAGCTCAGGTCCGAGGGCTTCCGAAAAGCCTAGGAGCCCACAGGGCCCTCGTCATCGCACCACGTAAGAATATTAAACAGACGGAAACCGAACGGCCTCACTCCATCCACTCCGCCGTCACTTCATAAAAGGCAGCGCACTGAGACACCTCCCCAGCCGCGTGCGGAAAACAGGCTTCTGGGGAGAATCCAGCCGGAGGCTGCGCCCCTCGAGGCCCCGCCCTGCACCTCACGGCCCCCCGTGGTCCGCCGCTCCTGGCCAGGCCGTAGCTCGGTCATTTATGAAGCAGGTACTTCTCGAGCATCAGCCGCGTGCCGGCCACTGATGGGTCCTGGAGAGACGAAGCAGACGCAGCGTGGCAGACGGGCCGGGCGACGGTGAGACCCAGAGACGTAAAGCGATGGGCCGGGACGCAGGGGGCAGGCTCCACAGGACACGGCGCTTGTGCGGGACGGAGAAACGAGGTGTCGGGGGGATGGGGTCACCGGGTTTGTGCCTTGGGCAGCTGGACGGATGGCGCCGCTGTCCGTGAAAACAGGCAGCTGGGGATGTGCCAAGTTCAGGGGCCCAAGTCAGAGTCGGGTGGATAAACGGACAGGACGTAGACCTAGGGGTGGGTTTTAGGAAACTGGAAATCGTGATTCAAGACCCTGGCTACTCACTTTTCAATGAGCTTCGCTACGAGAGAACAGACCTCCCGCCAGAGGCCCTGGGAGGGCCGGCTCGCCGCCTGCGAAGAAAGAATGATGTTTTAGCCAAAAAAACAGGAGCCATGCTTTTCTGGTAATACTAACAAGTGACTCGGGCTGTCAGAAGTTGACCGTGTCAGTCAGGCCCGGACACATCTCTGACAGGACAAAGTCCAGAGCGGAGAGGGACGAGCCATCCTTCCCCAGCGTGGGGGCCGGTGACGCTCCGGTCCGCGGCCGCGAGCACTGGTCAGAGGTGGGGTGAGAGCGCCTGGGCAGTGGAGGTCACGTCCACGGCCAGTGGCAGCAGCCTGAACAGGTGGACGTGCCCCAAGTGCAGGAAGCACGCCCTGACTGTCGCTGGTGGGAAAACAGACCAGTGGACCGGGGTCCTTGCTCTCGGGGAGCTCACGGCCCAGGCGGAACTGCAGACGGGGCTCCCCTGACTGCCGGCATTGCGGGGGCCTCCCCAGACGACCTCGACGCGGCTGCAGAAGGACCCAGCACCCTTGAGGGGTCTCAGCGTCTTCGCACCAAACAAAATGGGATCAAATCACTGAAAGGGCGAAGTTTCCTCAGAAAGGATAAGCCGCGTCCCCCCGGAGTTAGGCTTTGCCCTCAAGCTGGGTTTCTAGTCCCCGTAATGGCAGAACGAACCCCACGGGCATTTCGTTTAAGCGATGAGTTTCCTTTTTCTTTCTTTCTTTTTCATCTTCTAATTTAACAGTATTCGGAAATAAGGGGTCTCGGTCTAAAAAAATATAAGAAAGAACAGTAGAAGAGACTCCAGCACTAAATAACGAGAGGAGGAAGGAGCCCACAGTAGCACGTTTGTGATGGGGCTGGACAGGATTCACTTTGGAGATGCTTTAATTCCGACGTCACTTTAACGATGGCTCCCTGCGGCCACCATTCCCCTGCTGTGGTCACGCCGAAGGGAGTCTGTGTGGCCAGGGCTGTGCTCCCACCTCCCGGGCTATCTTCCTGTTTGCAAGTTCCAGACTTGTCAGAAATGGATGATGGCAGCACAGCCCGATCCTCGAACGTGGCCTCTGAGCATCGCTCGGGGATTTACTTCCTTCATTCCTGTGTCTGCCTTCAAAATCCGCTTGGCTGTAAATGTCGCCATTTGCTACTTACCGTATTTCATTATGACCGCCTCCTTCCCTGAGCCAAACGCGTTTTGTTTCAGATAACCAAGGTGTAACCATAGGGCTCCTGGTGACCGTCCTGTGTCTTCTCGCTGCTGGATTTGTGGTGTATCTCAAAAGGAAGACGTTGATACCACTGCTGTTCACAGATAAAAAATCGGCCATTGAAAAGCTCAGGTACCCGGGTCTGGGTCATCTCTTCAGAAATGGCGGTTGAAAAGATGCGCGACCAACTGTTCCCGCCTCGTTTCCCTTAGCAAAGAAGAGGTCAGATTTTCCAGAAAGTAAAACCAGCATTTGGGGTTTTTTCATTTCTGTTAGAGCAGCTGCCCCCTTTACTTCCCCTTCAAACTATTTGCCGCTTATTCCGTAAATAAGCAGCGTGTCGAGGACTCTGTGATGCGTTTTCCCCACGCTTGCATTAGTAATTTCTAGAAGACATGGGATGTTAAAGCTATTTTCTTCGGAGGGGGTAGCTTTTGATTCAGATACATTCAGACAGTATTGCTGAAATGCCAGCTTTAAACACAATGACGTCTATGGCCATGCCACCCTGAACAAGTCTGATCTCGGGAGCTGAGCAGGGTCGGGCCTGGTTAGTACTTGGATGGGAGACCACCTAGGAAGACCAGGTGCTGTAGATGTAAAAAAAATAACAGAAATAATAAGGGATTGTAAGCTGACAAGGTCTTTGCAATCTGTGAGGTCAACCAAGGGTTGCTGCGCCTAAAATAAATAAATAAACACACACACACACACACACACACGTGTCTCCCAGGTGACACAAAGCCTTGTTTCCAAGGATTGCAAGAACTAATTTAACAGAATCATGGCTTTGGGAACAAAAGAAAATCAATATTTGTTTTTTAATCTTGTAAGAGTGTTAGATAATTTTACCTTTGCAAGTTTACGCACACTGAGCTAAAAATAAGTAAATTGTTTTTTGAGGGTTATCGTGAACAAAACAGAAAAAGTTAAGTCAAGCAGAGGCGCCAGGCCCCTGGCGAGCGTGTGTGGGCTTGTGTTGCAGGTGTGTGCGCCCTCCCCGGCCGTCCAGCGGCTCGCATCCGGGTCAAGCTCACCTCACCCACCTGGGCAAAGGCCTGTTGAGGAAGCCCCCGCACTCCAGTGCACCCAGGGTAAGCGCTGGACGAGCGTGAGCGTTAGTGTGTGTGTAAAGACGTGGGTTTCTCCTGAGCGGGAATGGATCCTGGAGAGCCGTCTGTGAAGCGACGAGCCGGCACACTCAGTTCCACGAAGGCTTGCGAAGGGGCTGGCCAGGGGCTGGAAGGAGGCTCGCGGTGTGCCACCGAAGCGCCATGACGTCCCGCTGGGGCAGGTGACGTGCCCGAGTCATGTGGCACATCACGAGCCCCACTATCCCTCCGGTCACCTAGACCAGGCAAACTCCCGGGAGGCCCACTGGGTCTGCCCCCGAAGCAAGTTCCTGACACAGATCTCCGCCTGTGGCTTCAGAATGCTGCCATCTGGGTCTGGGTGAGTTCCCTTGGGCCGCTGTCACCCCCGTGTGTTTCTAAGAGTTATACTGGGCCCTCGGTCAGGCCCATTGTGCTCCAGCCCTGGGCCATGGACGCTCTGTCTGCTCTGGTTCCAAAGAGCCGGACCCTCCACCCAGAGTCCCTCCCGGCTCCCTGTTGCCATGTAACTTTCCTGCCACCTGGTGAATTATTACGAGATTCCACCCTGGTATTTAGTTTCTCCACCAAGTGTTTTTTGATGTATCCGCAGAATTCTTGAATATTAAACTCATTCACCAAGAGTCCACAAATTATAGCAGTGAACAGTGTGGGTGTCAAGATATGAAAAATGATTTTTTTAAATCATTATCACATATTTAGTGGGCAATAAACCAGCTTATCTCCCTTGATCTGAAAAGTGTAGAGGGTTGGGCTCCATTTCTGATGAGCGTCATCACCTTTCATCCCCAAACGTGGGACCACGGCAAAGGCAGCTTCGTTTCTGAGAGCCAGACATGGGAAGTGACCCAAATAGCCGTCCATCGGTAAAAAGATAAATAAATTTTGGTATTTTTACACCATGAAATGCTACTCGGCAATAAGAAGGAATGAACTGTTGCTATACACAGCATCATGGATGAACCTCGAAATAGTTATGCCAAGTAAAAGGCAGACAAGAAAGAGTATATGCTGCAGGATTCCACTTACATCAAATTCGAGAAAATGCAGACTAATTTTCAGTGACAGAAAGCAAATCAGTAGTTACGGGGAAGGAGAGACGGGGAGGGGCGAGAGCAAGAGAAGGGATCTCTGGGGCCATGAATGTGTCATTATCTCGCTTATTGTGGTGGTTTCCTGAGTGTGGGAATGTGTCAAAAGTTACCAAATTGTACCTATTAAGTGCGTGCAATTCATCACATGTCAAGCATACCTCAGTAAAGCTGTTTGTAGAAAGGAAGGGAGGGGTGGAGGGCTCGGGGCACAGCCTCATGCTGTGTCTGTTCTCATGTGTCCCTAAAACCAGGTGCCTTGCAGATCCTCCACCTGCCGGGCCCGACCCTCAGCCCTGGCTTCTGGAAGCCTCCACCCTCCTGGCCCAGGAGATTTTCCAGGTTCTCCCAGAGCCCGGAGTGCACTGAGCAATGTCGTATTAACCTCTTCGTTAACGAATTAAACCAGTTTTTTAAAATCAGAAATAGGCCCCTCTCAGATGGGTGGGGTGGGCAGAGCTGCTGTTGGAACTTCGAAGTGTACATAAACAACAGATTCTATCCCAGGCAACTCCTCGGCCCCTTTCCCTTAGCCCCTTCGGCTCTGGCAGACTCATCGGCTGTGCTTTTGCTCTAAGGAATCACATAAACTTCTGGGAGACCAATACATCGTGGCTTTTTGCTTTGATCCCGCAGGACAATCCCAAGAGACCGCTGCAGTGTCTGAATGTTGACATCAGCAGGCCCCTCAAAGCCCTCGACTTCCCTCAGCCCCATCCGCCCCCGCGAGTCCTCCCGCCCCTCCACCAGGCTCCCCGCGCACCCGGCGTCCCCGCCAGACCCCTGCCAGCCAACCCTGCTCCCAGGCAGGCCCAGGTACGTCTTCGGCCCCTGATTCGATGGATGCAGTACAAGTCCGAGTCCGGACTCTGCTGCTTGCTAACATCTGAACTTGGACGAGAGGCATGACATCTCGGTGCCTCTACGAGCTCCTCGGGTGGTTCAACGGGTAATCCACGTAAAGCATTCAGAGCAGTGCTCGGCAAATAGTAATGGTGTCACATTTTGTGTCATTATTAGTAATATTTTTATGTTCAGAGTAAGGACAGTGCCCGTGCAATTATCCTCTTAACCATGATATTTTTGAGAGTTGCAGGGGCATGATCAGTTATTAAGCCTGGACAATTAGGGGTGATAACGTGCCCGTGATTAGTTTCTATGTTTCGTTTTCAAATTATTTAACAAAAGTTTTACAGCCTGTTGCATTTCTCCATACCAGACAGCACTGTGTTGGGTCCCCTTTTCATGCTATTTTGGGGAGTAACAGTTTGTTTGTCATGACCATGAACATGATGTCATCTCACAATAGGAAACTGGGGGAGGGGTCAAAACAAGCAAATGAAAAGCACAAAGAGACGTTTGCTGGTAATTTTTTATGACCATCCTTGTTATATTTTTTTCTAGTAATTTTTGTAGATATACATTCGCATGTGTATTTTTAACATAATTTAGATTATTCCGTATGAACACTGCTATATATACTTTTTTTTGCCTTGAAATCATTCCCATTTACCATGGCATTAAATATTCTTGAAAATGTTATCTTCACGATAGCACTGTACATGCACATAGAATACTTTTTTAACTACTTGTCAATTAGCAGGCGCGTTTGGATGTCTCTAATTTTTGCTATGATAAATAGCTCTGTTATAAAAGAGTAGACAAATTTTGGACCATTTTGTTTATTCCCTTAGGAGAGATTCCTAAAAGTGAAAATATTGGATTGAAAAAATGGTATAACCATTTTAAACCTCTTAATATGTAAACCAAATATTTTTCAGGACTGTTATATTCATTTATGTTCCAACATCGTTTTAGGGCATCTGTCTCACATAACTTTGCTAGTGCTGTTAACGTTTCAAAGCTTCGCCAAATTGATACACAAAATGAAGTCTCATTGTTTTGAGTAGTGAAAGGGGACATCGAAGTTTCCAACTATATACGTGTCCCCTTTCAGTTCATCCGCTTTGCTTCGTGTATTTTGAAGCTCTGTTGTTTGTGATACACACAATTAGGGCTGTTGTGTCTTCCTGGTGAATTGACCCTTTTATCATTATTCTGTGTGTCTCTTTAGCTCTGGTGCTTAACGCTGTTCTAGAATCTACTTTATCTCGTATTAATCTATCCGCTTCAGTTTTCTTTTGATTAGTGTGTGTAAGGAATGGCTTTTCCCACCTTTTTACTTTTAACCTACGTCATTTTATTTGAAATGAATTTCTCAGAGACAGCATTAGTTGGGTTGTGTATTTTTTCGTCATTCTGTCACTGTCTTTTAATGGGTGTGTTTAGACCATTTACATTTAATGGAATTACTGACATGTTAGCCTTCGTCTACCATTTTAATATTGTGTTTCTTCCCCCGATTTTTCTTCTATTGTGCTCTTCTCTGAATTGTCATGGGTTAGTCGCACAGTTTTTAGCATTCCGCGTTGATTTGTCCACAGGGTTTTCGTGTGTTTGGACAGCTTTTTTTGTGTGGTTGCTCCAGGGCGGAGTTTCTCAACCTCGGCTTGACAGACATTTTGGCCTGGATGGATCTTTGTCGTATGAGACTGTCCTGCGTTATCACAGAACGTTTAGCAGCATCTTGGTTTCTGCCAACTAGTGGCAGTAGCTCGTGTAATCTTGTCTCCCAAGGGACAAAATCACCCCAACTGAACACTGCTGCTCTAAAGATTACATTATATATACACATTTATCACAATCTACTAGTATCAATGTTTTATCACTTCAGGTGGGATGTCAAAACTTTACCACCTGTTAGGTTCCTTTATCCTTCTACCCTTATGATATAGACGTCTTCAGTATTGCCCTGTTACACACTGAGAACCACTTCAGACGTTGTGATTTTTGCTTTCGACCATCAAGCGTGCCTTTTAAAACTTAAGAACAGTCTGCGGCATCTACTCATCCGCTCATCCTTCCCATCCTTTCTTCGCCCCCGATGTTCTGAGTTTCTTTGTTATTTCCTTTTTGTCTGAAAAACCTTCTTCAGCTATGCTGGTAAAGCAGGTCTGCTGGTGACAAATTCTATTAGTTTTTCTTCATCTGCAAATGTCTTTATTTCACCTTTATTTCTGAAGGATCGTTTCAACGGACATAGAATTCTAGGTTGACCATTTTCTTCTTTCTACATCTGAAACTGTTGTTCGTCTTCCTCCTGGCCTCCATGGTGATGAGAAATTACTGAAAGTTCTGTCCCCAGTGTCCGTCCCAAGGAAGAGATGTGAGCTGTTACGACGGGAGCGAGGGCAAGCAGGGCTCTACCCTCTCCAGGCCGTGGTGCTCCGTGAGGACGAGCAGGAGAGGGCTTTTTTCTGGTGTTCGCCCAGAGGTGGAGCGAGGTCAGGTTGGGTCCGATGTTTTTCATTTACTGGGTCACCTTTTTTTCTGGCTTTTTGGCTGGAGATAGCAAGCTTTCCTTGGACATTTTTTGTCGCTGTTGTCTGATGCCTTTGGCATTTCTGGATTGGGGGCCCCTCCAAAACCCAGGACAAGATATGGAAAAGGCAAAGGGAAAAATAAGAACTCACTGTTGGGGGTTCCCAGAGTTTTGAGGTCTCTGGCCAGTCCAGTTATTTTTCATAAACTTCCAGAGTCTCTCGGTTGCTTTATGAATTTTCTCTAGACTTTCTTACTGTAATTAACAGGAGGAATAGGGTAAAATTTGCTTATTCCATCTTAGCCAAACTAAATTTCTTTTTGTATTTCTTTGATCATTGGTATCCTTGAACTGATTTTTATATATCTATTAACTAACGGTGTGTTGGTAAATAAGCTGTCAAAAACAATTTCTTAACCCTGATTTATAGGTGATTTCTCTGCTGTAAAAACTCCTGCCAGGGCCAATTTCAAGCCATTCACGTGACGTCACTGGAATAGGTATAGAGAATTAGCTGATGTGAGTGCCAGCTCGCTCCAGTGCCCAGCTGCTGTTCACTCTTTTGTTCTGTGAATTGTTTGTTTCTACCCTTTACTGATTTTTTTTTTGTTTGTGAGATAGAGTTTTCTTCCTGGTTTATAAGAATGTATTTTCTTAATAGATTAAGAATATTTACCCTTCTCCAGTAATTTATTACGAACTTGTTCCCTAACTTCTTTTTTAATTTTATTTATGATATTTTTGGTATAAAAGGAATTCTAGTTTCGAAGAGTATGTCTTTTGTAAATCCTCCCATTCCTTTCGTGTTTACAACGTGCTTTCCCATTTCGGTATCAGTTAAGGCCCACCTACCATTGTTTGTTTATCGTGTTGGCCGTGGACACTTCTTTTCCATTTGTTTTTCTAACCTGGGTTGGATTTACATTAGTGGACGGTGGTGGGCACACCATAAACTTTTCTGGGCTATATACAGACTTATTTGAGAATTGGATAAAAGCTCCGAACCGTCCAAAAATGCACCAATACTCAATATGTCGCATGCGAGTTTTAGATAGCCACAGAGCCCGTAAGTCCCTTCGCCATGGAGTCCCTATGCTGAGGTTTTATTATGTCTCCTGTTAAGTAAATTGCCTGTGCACCATGTCAAACTGGGACTGTCCCTGCCAGGACATGTGATCTGAGGAAAGACACCTCCACTGTTGGTATCTTTTTTCACACCATCAGTGAATGCCGACAGAAGGGACTCCTTCGAGATTTTCCCTTAAAGCAGACCTAAAAAAATAAAAAAGACTTTCATTCTATTTTATGAAACTAAGGAAATGTTACCCTTTAAACATTAGTAACTGAAAAATCCACATTTCTCACTCCAGGCTGGTGTCTGTCTGGAGCTTTTCCGAGACATCTGATACAGATTAAGCTCGCGCGTTCCCCCCATCAGACGCAGGGACCTGGAATTAATTCTGTGTGGCCAATATTGGGAGGTGGCTCGCTTGGCAGCACTGACAATTTGTACTTTAGAGCCCAGTGTCCCACCCCACACCACACGACAAACAAACCAGCTTACCTTCCAAACTTTCCAGAAGGAAAACACTGCCATAAACACAGCAACACTGGTCAAGCTTACCTCTAAAAAGTAAGCTAGTTCTTTACAGAAAACATTTGCTCTTTCCACCAGATGTCTGTTTGGTCTTTAAAATCCAGGACAGTTGAATGAACTCCCTCTCTCGGCCACAAACGTACCTTTCCAGTGGTACCGTTTCCTTCAAATGACCCTTGGAATTCAAACTTCTCAGCCAAACTCCTCAGCCTCGACCAAGGCAACAAACATTCATTTCCTTTTCGTCCTGTCGGCTATTTTAGAGGAAACTAATTCAGCATATTCGTCTAGCTGTGAGCCGACTGCTGCCAAGTTCTCCCCAGCACGACCTGGGCATGAAAGGCAAACTGTGGGCTTGAGAAAAAGACAGTAGAATGACGAATAAGAGGTCACCAGGCTGTGCCATCGCCCACGATGGTGTGCATAAGCAGAGAGCGTCACAAAACATCTGTGTGTGTGTGTGCGTGTGTGCGTGTGTGTGTGTGTGCGTGTGTGTGTGTGTGTGTGTTATATACCACTGGGCCGGCGCCAACTCCTGGGGACCCCACGAAGAAGGGATGAGCACAGTGTGCTGTCCTCAGCAGCCACGCTCGGCTCCTGTGGACTCGCGCCCGTGGCTCACCGTACGGAATCGGTCCATCTCGTGTTCGGTCGTTTCCTCTTCCCGCTGCCTCGTCTCTCCCAGCGTCACTGTCCTTCCGAAGGACAGTGCCTTCCCACGACGCGCCCAAAGTGGGACAGCCGCCGTCTTGTCCTCTCTGCCTCTCAGGCTGAACTCGCTCTCGGCCCCGCCTGTGGGTCCTTCTGGTGGCCCAGGCGTCCGCAGGGCTCTCCTCC